CCCTTAATATATTAAGAAAAAAATGAATAAGTGTATCAGAGAAGAATTGACAAAAGAAGTTGTAAAATGCCGTGGTTGTAAGATATACAACAACAAAGTCAAAAAAGCAAATGACATATTTCCTGACTGTATCATTGATAATATTTTGAGTTTTGTATGTTGTAAAAGATGCACCATTACAAACCATTTAATGAAAAACGAACCTGACAATTTAAAAGAAATGGATAAGTGGATTTGGTATATGACGAGGTTAAATAAATGTCCGACGAAAAAGTCATTACGGACAATATTTACAACAGGTTTAGACAAAACCTTAAAAGAGTATGGATACGATAATAGGTTAATCTTGAATTATGAAACCGCTACTCAATTTCATTATAATTTACTTTTTAATCATAATGATGGTTATGTATCTTGTGAAGATTTTAGCATCTCGATGTGTAGGGATTTTCTTAAAATGTTGAAATGGCAATATATAGAAAACAAAGACAAAGTCGTTTATAAAAACATTTTTGATAATAAGTTTTATCATAAATTCGTTTGTCATTTGTTAGAAAAGAAAAGGTTGATTATAGACTGGTTTAATTATATGGGTACTTATGATTAAGTTTATTCATATTATTTAACTATAATATGGTTAAACACTTGTATCCCCCAGAAAGCCGTAAAATTGTCTGAAACCCGAACCTTGAAAATGATGAAATCTTAGACTGTTTCATAATGAAAAAAATGTAAAAAATTGTTGAGAAAATTTACCCAAGAACATTTAAAGGGATAATGGGTATAATTAGTATGGAGGAACAAAATGAGCGAAAATGTAGTTGGTGTAAAAAGTCTAACCCAGATGTAGAATTTACTGATAATAGAAAACTCTGTAATGGGTGTGGTGAGAAAAGTAGAGAGAAACATAGACAGAACCGAGAAAAGGAAAGGCAACAGGCAAAGGAATATTATGAACGAAATAAGGAATACAAAAAATAATATAACAAAGAATATCGTCAATGGCGATATGAATGTCCCTGCTGTAAAGTTATGGTGACTTTTCATCACAAAGCAAGACACGAGCGAACTAAAAAACATCTAAACAACATGAATATAGTAAATGAAACAAAACCATAATTATCTATCATATTGTTAATTTATAATATGATTGATAAATCCATAATCCTAACCATGTAAATGTCAATATCTTAGACTGTTTCATAATGAAAAAATTGTAAAAAAATGTTGAGAAAATTTAGGAAAATTCCCCACAATCAACCTTTAGGTTTTGAACAAAATGGTTTGCTTGTTTAAAAGTAGTGTTGAACCCTGAAACCTTGAACTGAAAACACCCTGCCTTAGAACCAACCTTATAACCATTTTGGGGGGGGGGGGTCCTGGGGGACCCATACCATATGGGGGGGGGGGGGTAGCAACACGGAACACGGGACCATATATAAATATATATATATATATATGTTATACATTTGTGTATGTAGATGCAGATGCAGATGCAGATGTTGTATGCATGTGTAACTACTGCATATATGTATGTGTCAATATATATAGATATAATAAATATATATATATATATAATAAATAAATAAATAAATAAATATATATATATATATACAATGTAATATGCGTGTTTTCGGAATTGGGTACTGTGGCTAGCGGCTTGGCCATCTTGGCACAACGCTGCTCGGATTCCGGTAAGTCTGTTCTGCCTCTTCTCGGTCCTATACGACTCCAAGTTCTGAGCCACGTTCTCAAAACCCGGGTAGATGACGGTGAAGGGATAGTCCCAACCATAGATGGGTGACAAACACATAGCTGTCCTTTTAACTCTGTACATGGTTTCCGGGTACACCTTTTTGATACCAAGTTTTTCTTACGACTCACTTGTTGGGCGGCTTGTTGGTGAGCTGGGTGTTTGGTTTTGATGCAGAACATCCAGAGGCAGCTCGCCAGAGTCCAGAGTCCAAAGTGAGCGCATTCCTCGGAATCCACCATATCCACCATTAAATCGTCCAGAAAAACATCAAAGCCCCAAAAGACTAAAAAAAGACCCATGGTGGTCTTGCTGAAAAAGCCCTCGGGGGCCTCCAAGAAGGCCAAGGTGTCCTTTTTCTTTCCCCACGATGCCAAGGGTACCATAAGAAGCCACCCCATGGAAGGGGGTCCTGGTTTTTCTCGCGGTTGGTCCGATATCAGCGGGTTTGTTCACTCGCGAGGTTTGGGTTCTGAATCGAGGGTGCACTGGAACCCTTTCCAAGACAGGTTTAGTCTTCTCCAAAGATGAGACAGAACCAGAACGTTTGTTTTTAGGAGTACCCGGAAAGGGGTTGAACACTTCCATGGGAGGCATTGGGCAATCGAACAGGTACAGTCGCCAAATACCCCGGGCCTTGTTTCAACATTGAGATCCGAACCTCTCAGAGGATTGGCCGTTGCGCTTGTCGAACCACTGACGAAGAAGTGACCCGCGTCTCGCAACTGTCCTGGTCCACAGACCCTTTGGCCGATCTTCGGATTACCGGTTCTTCCATTTGCTGAAATCATAGCTTTCTGTTTTCCCCTGCTGGTTAGGTTCCAAAGGAATCTTTTGCTACTGGACATTCTGGACATATCTTTAAGACGGGTTCTTCAAGCAGAGAGCAGGGTTCAACAGGCTGTGCCCTGTCGACTATGAGCATTCTGGCTCGAATTGCTCGGAGTGCCGACGAAACCCGGACCGCACGATGCCCCCAACATGTGGCTTGGTGCTTTCGTTCAGATCTTTGCGTGGTTTTGGGTTGTTTCACTGTTTGTGCAGTTGTTGGTCGCGTTTTTAGATCTTTGTTTTTGTTGCAAACCAGTTTGCAGTGGGACGCAGCAATATGTTTTTGCTGCTGACCTGCAAACAGCAGGGGTGGTGGTGGTGGTGGTGGCGGTGGTGGTGGCCGTGGCGGTGGCGGTGGCGGTGGCGTTTTGTTTTATTGCCAAGAGAATGCAAGATGCAACCAACTTGGAGTCCTGGTTTTGAGACACACCGGTTGTCAGTGAGCAAAGCGACAAGTCTTTGCATTGCTGGTGAGCTGCTGCTCCTCCTGCTGCTGTTTCCTGGTTGTGGTTCTGGTTCTGGTTGATTCTGGTTGTGGTTCTCCTGGTGTTTATCGGTTATGCTAGTTATTTGTCATCTTGTTTGTTTGTTTGTTTGTTTGTTTGTTTGTTTGTTTGTTTGTTTGTTTGTTTGTTGGTTTGTTTGTTTGTTGGTTTGTTTGTTTGTTTGTTGTTTGTTTGTTTGCTTGCTTGCTTGTTTGATTGATTGATTGTGTGTTTCTTTGTGTGTTTCCTGTTCTTGTGTGCTTGTGTTTGCTATATTATTGTGTTTGTTTGATTGTTTATTTGTTTGTTTGTTTTTGTTTGTTTTTTGTTTGTTTGCTTGTTTGCTTGATTGTTTTGTTGGTTGGTGTTTTGTTGGTTTGCTTGGTTTGGTTGGTTGAGTTTGGTGGGTCGTCCATCCTTGAGGTGGAGACTGCTGCTGCCCTGCAGAGTGCAACGATGAGAGGTGCCGCACCAACCTGCGCTCGGTTCGTCCCTGTCAGGGGGGTCTTTTGCCACCTTTTGTGAGAAAATGGCCGACCCCCTCAAAAAGGAATCAATCATTACGAGGGGGTCGATCAATTGTCCACAAAAGGTGGCAAACAGACCCCCCTGGTCACTGTGCTTCTCACTTCTGGTACCCCCACAAATCAACATGGAACCTGGCAGGGGGGTCCTGGAAGACCAAATTTTCGGCGAGAACTCGAATTCCTTTGGTGAGTTTGGGGTGGTTGTACTACTCAAAGGACACCAACCCCCTTTTAAAGCGTTCTTTGTTTCTTTATAGGGCTGGAAAAGGCAGTCACTCAAGGTTCAACTTTTGGTGGCCTCCAACAGTTACAGTTTCCATGGAGCCCAATCAGTAAATGGATTCGCTGTATACAATCAGGCTTTGACTCAGTGGGTGAACGCTGCAAGTGATACTCATGGGTTTTCTGCCTGAGGGAGGTTTTATGGGGGTTCTAGTAAGGCCTAGATAAACTCAGCCCTTAAACCAGGTTTGGAAAAATGGTTTGCACAAGTAGAAAGGGTGAGAACACCTTGGGTCCACTCTTGAAGTCATGGAATCAGCAATTCAAGAAAGGTCTCAATTTTCGCTGCGGTTTTACCTCGATGCCTACATGGGGGGGGGGAGTGTTAAAATTGGGCCCCTTTGGGCATCGAAACCATGTTTTGACAGCACTCCGTTTCCTGTGTGTTCAAATAGGCGGGCCTCGGACCCCAGAATGGTTTTTTGGTTTCCCCGCAAACCCACCCCAAAGGGCACCGCCGGAAAAAGTCGCACACCAATTTTTCACGTAGCGGTTCGGAGGAAACCGAGAGGTGGAAACCCTATGGGACTCCCAGGTCTTAGCTGTTATGGGCGAGTCCCTTAAAACCCCCCCCCCCAATATTACGACTCCATCCTTGTGTCCGGGTTTGGGCTCCCGAACCCCTTTTCTCTAGCCCTCGAGGAGTTTCATCTCGGTTGGACTCGGTCGTTGGCTTTCGGACCGCTCGAAGCCACGGGCAAAGCCCTTCCAGGGGAAGAGAAAACCAGACATCGGGGAACCCGTCCCCAGAGTGTTGAGCTGCAAAAGGATCAGCTTGTTCCAGAAGTGGAAACCAAATGGATGTTTTTTTTTCCCCCCCGAAATTTAGAGACCTCATTTTCTCTTTTTCTGCTCGCTTTCTTTCGACCATCTCAGTGTCGCTTCAAGTATTTCAAGAAAACAACCTCAACTCGTTCACTCCCGGGGCTTCACCACCAGCCCCTCCCCCGGTCCGAGAGAAGGGAAGGGGATGGTGTTGAACAGATTTGTTTGGAGGGCTCTCCCTAAGATAGTCAACTTCAAGGGTTTCCTGTTGCCACGTTTTGGGGATTTTTGGGGCGAGTGATCAGGATCCATGTTGAGCCTTCGCGGGGTGTGTCAGTCGGTTCCCGGTGCTGAGAGGTGCGGCTGCAAGTGCGGGGAGTCCATTTTGACCTTGGGCCTGGTCTTCGTGATCGCGGCGGCGGCCTTCTGGGCGGTGGGCTGGCTCTTTGGCTGGAACGGGCCCGACACCCACTTCCAGGCGTATCGGGGCGAAGCGGCGAATCGCTTGTTCCATGACGCAAGCGGTTTTGGCATGCTGGGAACGTCGTGTTCGATTTGTTGGGGGGCCCCTGGTTTTGCGTTTTTTTTTTTTTTTCTCCGTGTGTGTGTTTTTTTTTTTTTTTTGGCGGGGGGGGGACCTTTTTTGTGTTGGGTTGGGTGGGTTTGCGATTCTGTTTTCTTGTGGCCCTTGTGAATTTAGTTGTTGCGATCTCATTTGTTTGCGACACCCCCTCGTGTTTTGTTTGGCCCCTGGCTTGTTGTTTTCGTCAACGAGGTTTGGTCGAAATGTCCTCATTTGTTTTTGGGAAATCTCGGGAACTGTCTGAAATTCCCAAACACCAGGGGACAAGCCCTTAATTGCACTCATAGAAGGGAAATTTTTAGAATGGTGTGTATGTGTGCGTTGCTTTTGTTTGTTTGTTTGTTTGTTCTTTGAGCACAATATGACAATTGTTTGTGGCTTTTGGTGATTTCTTTTGGGCCCCAGGCAGTTTGCATGTGTTTTGTGTTTATTTTTGTGTATATATATATATATATATAACGCTGTTGTGTTGTTCTTGTTCCCGGCGTTTCATTGTTTGTTCTTCCTTTTGATGCGTTGATTCGCTTTCTGACTGGTATGTGTGTTGGTTTGTCGCAGTGTTGATCGTTTGCTGTTCGGCTTGTATCGTTTGTTGTTTGGTTTGTGTGTGTGTGTGTTGGTTTGCTGCTTGTGCACCGCGTTTCCTGCTTTTGTTTGGTTCGCACGGTTTTCGTTGTGCTTGGTCCCTTTTTGGGTTGTTGCTTCTTCTTTTGCTTCGTTGCACAGACTGAAACCGGATTCCTGGCAGGCGGACATGACCTACCACTCCTTCAACATGTTCTGGCTTCCTGGCTTGCGACGAATCGCCTGGGCTGTACTTTTCGACACCCAGGGCATGAGAGAAGCGTTTTCCCCCGCCCCCCTTTCTCTTTTTGGGGAGGGAGGGGGGGGGATGGGTTGTTCCAACTCAGGAGCCATAGGAACTCTCTACTTACCAACTTTAATAACCCGCGTAGGAATCGCCAAGGCGGTTCCGTGAGCCTTTCCTGGCAAGGTGGCGTAGTTGGTTCTTTGCCCTGTGAGCACAAGCAAACACAACTCCCTGCTTTTTCTGTTTTTCGGCAAGGAGTCAAGGGAGTTCCTTGAAGGATGCTCAATGTCCGGTTGAATTATAACTAAAAGCAAACACCAGGATGGTCGATGTTTGTCAGCACCCCCAAGGGATGAGTTTTCACATTTCCAACCCCTAAAGGAAAGAATGCTGTTTGAATACTAGGGAGTTTTGAACAAAAAGCTGTCATGGGATGGCTATGGTTAGGTCCATGCATTTGTCCGCGATGGCCGGTGTTTGGGAGTATTTTAATGCTGGTTTGACTGGAAAGCAAAAATATCGCCCATGTTTTGGGGTGGCCACCTATTTTGATGCATACTCATGTTCATGGGGGATGGCACAGAACAGAACAAACGTGCTAACATCCCAGATGGAAGGCTTGGAAAGTTCTTGCAATTGTTTGGAAGGCCATTTGTCAGTGACACAAAAACTGGTACTTAAATGGCACCTATGAAAACAAAGACTGACACCTGCGCAACCCCAGCTGTTTAGTTTTCAGCTGCACCCATTTGGTAAACAACAAGTTTCCACTTACTTTGGGCATCCCACTCAAGTGAGACCTGGTCTGCCAAGTTTATGAATTGGGATCAGGCGACAAGCAAGCTAAGCCCAGATTATGGTTCCCGTTAGCAAAGCCTTGTGAGATAGCCAGCCAGCTCCAGTTGAAAGCAATACATAGGTACCCAAAGAAGGGACAGCATGGGGCGCCAAGCGTAAGGCTTGAGGGGGGGGGTCTAACAGACCATACTTGAAGAGCGCCAGCCAATTGCAAGTTCAGACCTAGGGAAGCCTGACCGGTGACGCGTCGGTGCTGCATTTGGGTATCAACCCAACTTTCGCAATACTGATCCCTCATCCTCAACTCAATGTGTGCCCCTTTTTAAGGATTCATCCTTTCTCGGCTCGCTCTGTCTGATCATGGTATGGTCGTCGCGAATGGAACATTACCAGGAGAGACAAAGGAGCGACAAATCCTTCGACCAGAGAGAAAAGAACCATGTTTTTTACAACTTGTTTTTTTTTGTCGCTTTATTGTCATGATTATTATTATTCTTATTATTCATAATGCATCCAGTTGCTTGTTCAAGCTGAAATGGTATGATAGAAAGAATAAATTTTGGGTCTCTCTATTCCCCTCTTTGGTGGTTGCAAGCATCACTGATTATTCCCTGGTAAGGTGAGTTCCTTTGTTCGGGGTGAAGCTTTTTGGGGGAAATATAGGG